TAAAACTACGTGGCCGGGAGTTAGAGCCATTCCCTGTACACCTTGGGGTGCGACAGGGATGTCCTCTGGCTCCCACATTATTTAACATCTATTTTGACCACGTAGTTCGTGAAGCCTTCAATAGCTGTACCGTAGGAATTTCCATCTGGTACAGATACAATGGGAGGCTGATCGATGCCCGGGTAGGTCAAGGGATGGCTCCCTATTGGTCAACCACGTTATGTATGCCGATGATTTGGTAAAAGCTGCTCAGTCAGAGGAGGAGTTGGATACGCTGCTGCTGAACCTGGAGCTTGCCACTAAAAGGTGGGGCCTTACCATCAGCCCCACCAAAACTAAGCACCTGCCTGGGTATTTTGTACCATCGGAAACTCCACCCCCACAACTCCCAATCGGTGATGGGGCAGTTGTGGAGAGTTTCCCATACCTGGGCAGTGTGCTTATGACCGGCTCCGGTTTAACAGCAGAGGTCTCGCTCCGAATCAGTCGAGCAGCAATATCTTTTCATCGGTTGCGTAACGCTGTGTGGAAGCTACCTGGTCTGTCGCTCCGCACTAAGCTTCAGGTCTTCTCGGCCACGGTCATTCCCTCCCTTCTCTACGCTTGCGAAACGTGGACCCCCCTAATGGAACATCTTCGCCGGTTAGAAACATTTAGGCTAGCCTGCCTATGATCAATCCTGGGTTTAACCAGGCTGGATTGTGTGAGGAGTTCACAAATCCTTGAAAGATCTGGGCAAGGTCCCATCGGTGAGCTCCTCCGGCAGGCAAGGCTGCGATGGCTGGGTCATGTAGCCCGCATGCCCTGCCACCGCATGCCGAAACAGCTTTTGTTCGGCCGGATTGAGGGGGCTAAGCGGGCGCGGCACGGGCTAGAGAAGAGATGGAGTGATGTGGTACAGGAGGACGTGGAGCTGAGTGGACTTGCCGATGACCGGTACCAGCGGTGTCAAGATCGGCCTCTGTGGAGGAGGCTCGTGAAGGATGCTACTGGGCAGTTGGAGGCAGTCGCCCTCCAACAACAACGGAGGGCGGAGGAGCGACGCTCACAACAACGAGCGGAGCGCCGGGTGGCTAAAGCACAGCAGGTTGGCACAGTAGGGGGCACAGGTGGTGCATCACCCAGTCGTCTCAGTCACTCGACCCGTGGCACCTGGGTCTGCCCCGTGACCTCCTGCCAGCGGGCGTTCGACACTTCACGTGACCTCAGGGTGCACATAGCCTGGCACAAGCGTCGTGGTGACGTCACTGCCACTTGGTGGCGAATGGCGGTTGTTGTTGTGTGTAGGTGAGTGTGTCACGTCTGTGTGTGTGTGTCTGTGTATGTGTGTGTGTCACGTGTGTGTGTATGTGTGTGTGTGTCACGTGTGTGTATGTGTCTGTGTGTGTCACGTGTGTGTATGTCTGTGTGTGTCACGTGTGTCTGTGTGTGTCACGTGTGTGTGTCACGTGTGTGTATGTGTGTGTGTCACGTGTGTGTGTGTCACGTGTGTGTGTGTCACGTGTGTGTGTCACGTGTGTGTGTCACGTGTGTGTATGTCTGTGTATGTCACGTGTGTGTGTCTGTGTGTGTCACGTGTGTGTGTCACGTGTGTGTATGTCTGTGTGTGTCACGTGTGTGCGCGTCACGTGTGTGTGTCACGTGTGTGCGCGTCACATGTGTGTGTCACGTGTGTGTGTGACGTGAGTGTGTCACGTGTGTGTGTGTGTGACGTGTGTGTGTGTGACGTGTGTGTCACGTGTGTGTGTGACGTGTGTGTGTGTCACGTGTGTGTGTGACGTGTGTGTGTGTGTCACGTGTGTGTCACGTGTGTGTGTGTGTGTGTCACGTGTGTGTGCGTCACGTGTGCGTCACGTGTGTGTGCGTCAGGCGTTCATGTTTGAGAGTTGCCTCCTGCTGGCACCGACGCGTTGGGCCCTGGAGTCGTGCGGCCGCCTCGACCGCTCCTACCGCAGCTGCTGGGAGGGCATCGCAGAGAACTTCACTGGGCCAGCAGATAGACACACATAGATAGACACATAGACACACATAGACACACACATAGACACACACACACACATAGACACACACACACATTGACACACACACACACATAGACACACACACACACATAGACACACATAGACACACACACACACATACACACACACACATAGACACACACACACACACACTCCTACCGCAGCTGCTGGGAGGGCATCGCAGAGAACTTCACTGGGCCAGCAGATAGACACACATAGATAGACATAGACACATAGACAAACACATAGACACACACACACACACATAGACACACACACACACACTCCTACAGCAGCTGCTGGCAGGGCATCGCAGATAACTTCACTGGGCCGCAGATACTTAGATAGACACATAGATAGACACATAGACACACACACATAGACACACACACATAGACACACACACACACACTCCTACAGCAGCTGCTGGCAGGGCATCGCAGATAACTTCACTGGGCCAGCAGATAGACACACATAGACATAGACATAGACACATAGACACACACATAGACACACACACATAGACACACAGACACACACACATAGACACACACATAGACACGCTCCTACAGCAGCTGCTGGCAGGGCATCGCAGAGAACTTCACTGGGCCAGCAGATACTTAGACATACATAGACACATAGACACACACATAGACACACACATAGACAGATACACACATAGACACACACATAGACACACACATAGACACACACATAGACACACATAGACATAGACACACACACACATAGACATAGACACATAGACACACACATAGACAGATACACACATAGACACACACATAGACACACACATAGACACACATAGACATAGACACACACACACATAGACATAGACACATGGACACACACACATAGACACACATACATAGACACACACACACATAGACATAGACACATATACACACACATAGACAGATACACACATAGACACACACATAGACACACACATAGACACACATAGACATAGACACACACACATAGACATAGACACATAGACACACACACATAGACACATAGACACACATACATAGACACACACACACATAGACATAGACACATAGACACACACATAGACACACACATAGACACATACACACATAGATATATACACAGACATAGATACACACACACATAGACACACACACATAGACACACATAGACACACACACACATACACACATAGACACACACACACATAGACACACACATAGACACACACATAGATACACACATAGACACACACACACACATAGACACACACACATAGACACACACACATAGACACACACACATAGACACACACATAGACACACATAGACACACATAGACACATACACACATAGACACACATAGGCACATACACACATAGACACACACATAGGCACACATAGACACATACACACATAGACACATACACACAGACACACACATAGACACACACACACATAGACACACACACACAGACACACACACACAGACACACACACATAGACACACACACATAGACACACACACACACAGACACACACACACATAGACACACACACACATAGACACACACACACACTTAGACACACACACTTAGACACACACACACACACTTAGACACACACACACACACTTAGACACACACACACACTTAGACACACACATAGACACACACACACATAGACACACACATAGACACACATAGACACACACATAGACACATAGACACACACACACACATAGACAAACACATAGACACACACGTAGACACACACACAGACACTAACACACACACAGACACACACATAGACACACACAAAGACACTCACACACACACAGACACACACGGACACACACAGACACACTCACACACATCAACACACAGACATAGACACACACGGACACACACATAGACACACACACAGACACTCACACACACAGACACACACATAGACACACACACAGACACACACACAGACACACACACATATAGACACACACAGACACACATAGACACACATAGACACATAGACACACACATAGACACACACATAAACACACATACACATAGACACACACACATAGACACATATAGACACAGACACACACACACATAGACACATAGACACACATAGACACATAGATGCACACACATAGACACATAGACACACACACACATAGACCCACATAGATACACACACACATAGACACATAGACACACACACAGACATAGACACACACAGACACACACATAGACATACACACAGACACTCACACAGACACTCACACACACACAGATACACACATAGACACACACACACATATAGACACACACAGACACACATAGACACACATAGACACACATACACGTAGACACACACACATAGACACATATAGACACATAGACACACACACATAGACACATAGACACACACACACATAGACACATAGATACACACAGATAGACACATAGATACACACATAGACACACACACACATAGACACACATAGATACACACACATAGACACAGACACACACACATAGACACACACACACATAGACACACACACACTCACACACATAGACACACACACACATAGACACACACAGACACACACATAGACACACACACAGACACTCACACACACAGACACACACATAGACACACATACACACACACACACACATAGACACACACACATAGACACACACACATTGATTGATAGATGATGATTGATAGATATTGATGACAATCTCTGGACATGCTGATGGACATGATAGGTGATGATCACAGGTGATGATTTATAGATGATGATGACAATCACTGGAGATGATGATGATGATCAATGTTCGATTAAAAGTCCAATCTTGTTAAGTCTGACCTAAGGGCATCGTGTCGGAGAAAGGGAGGGGATGGTGATGATGCAGGTGATGGTGATGGTGGTGATGGTGGTGATGGTGGTGATGGTGGTGGTGGTGGTGATGGTGGTGATGGTGGTGATGGTGATGGTGGTGATGGTGGTGATGGTGGTGATGGTGGTGATGGTGGTGGTGGTGATGGTGGTGGTGATGGTGGTGGTGATGGTGGTGGTGGTGATGGTGGTGGTGATGGTGGTGGTGATGGTGGTGGTGGTGCTGATGGTGGTGAAGATGGTGGTGATGATGGTGATGGTGGTGATGGTGGTGATGGTGGTGATGGTGGTGGTGGTGGTGGTGATGGTGGTGGTGATGGTGATGATGGTGATGGTGAGGATGGCGGTGATGGTGATGATGGTGATGGTGGTGATGATGATGGTGGTGATGGTGGTGGTGATGGTGATGGTGGTGGTGATGGTGATGATGATGGTGATGGTGGTGGTGGTGATGGTGATGGTGGTGGTGGTGATGGTGAGGATGATGGTGGTGATGGTGATGATGATGATGATGGTGGTGATGATGATGATGGTGGTGATGGTGATGATGATGATGGTGGTGATGGGGTTGATGGTGATGGTGATGATGATGCAGGTGATGGTGATGGTGATGATGATGATGGTGGTGGTGGTGATGGTGGTGGTGATGGTGATGGTGGTGGTGATGGTGGTGGTGATGGTGGTGGTGATGGTGGTGGTGGTGCTGATGGTGGTGAGGATGGTGGTGATGATGGTGATGGTGGTGATGGTGGTGATGGTGGTGGTGGTGGTGATGGTGGTGGTGATGGTGATGATGGTGATGGTGAGGATGGCGGTGATGGTGATGATGGTGATGGTGGTGATGATGATGGTGGTGATGATGATGGTGGTGATGGTGGTGGTGATGGTGGTGGTGATGGTGGTGGTGGTGGTGATGGTGGTGGTGATGGTGGTGGTGGTGGTGGTGCTGATGGTGGTGAGGATGGTGGTGATGATGGTGATGGTGGTGATGGTGGTGATGGTGGTGATGGTGGTGGTGGTGATGGTGGTGGTGATGGTGATGATGGTGATGGTGAGGATGGCGGTGATGGTGATGATGGTGATGGTGGTGATGATGATGGTGGTGATGGTGGTGGTGATGGTGATGGTGGTGGTGATGGTGATGATGATGGTGATGGTGGTGGTGGTGATGGTGATGGTGGTGGTGGTGATGGTGAGGATGATGGTGGTGATGGTGATGATGATGATGATGGTGGTGATGATGATGATGGTGGTGATGGTGATGATGATGATGGTGGTGATGGGGTTGATGGTGATGGTGATGATGATGCAGGTGATGGTGATGGTGGTGGTGATGGTGGTGGTGATGCAGGTGATGGTGATGATGATGGTGGTGATGGTGATGATGATGGTGGTGGTGGTGGTGATGGTGGTGGTGGTGGTGATGGTGATGGTGGTGATGATGGTGATGGTGGTGATGGTAGTGATGGTGGTGGTGATGGTGGTGGCGATGGTGATGGTACAGATATAATGGGAGGCTGATCGATGCCCGGGTGCGGTCAAGGGATGGCTCCCTATTGCTCAACCACGTTATGTATGCTGATGATTTGGTATTAGCTGCTCAGTCAGAGGAGGAGTTGGAGACGCTGCTGCTGAGACTGGAGCGTGCCACTAAGAGGTGGGGCCTTACCATCAGCCCCACCAAAACTAAGCACCTGCCTGGGTATTTTGTACCATCGGACACTCCACCCCCACAACTCCCAATCGGTGATGTGGCAGTTGTGGAGAGAGTGGAGAGTTTCCCATACCTGGGCAGTGTGCTTATGACTGGCTCCAGTTTAACAGCAGAGGTCTCATTCCGAATCAGTCGAGCGGCAATATCTTTTCATCGGTTGCGTAACGCTGTATGGAAGCTACCTGGTCTGTCGCTCCGCACTAAGCTTCAGGTCTTCTCGGCCACGGTCATTCCCTCCCTTCTCTACGCTTGCGAAACGTGGACCCCCCTAATGGAACATCTTCGCAGGTTATACACATTTAGGCTGGCCTGCCTACGATCCATCCTGGGTTTAACCAGAGCTCACAAATCCTTGAAAGATCTGGGCAATGTCCCATCGGTGAGCTCCTCCGGCGGGCAAGGCTGCGATGGCTGGGTCATGTAGCCCGCATGCCCTGCCACCGCATGTCGAAACAGCTTTTGTTCGGCCGGATCGAGGGGGCTAAGCGGGCGCGGCACGGGCTAGAGAAGAGATGGAGTGATGTGGTACAGGAGGACGTGGAGCTGAGTGGACTTGCCGATGACTGGTACCAGCGGTGTCAAGATCGGCCTCTGTGGAGGAGGCTCGTGAAGGATGCTACTGAGCAGTTGGAGGTAGTCGCCCTCCAACAACAACGGAGGAGCGATGCTCAGAACAACGAGCGGAGCTCCGGGTGGCTAAAGCACAGCAGGTTGGCACAGTAGGGGGCACAGGTGGTACATCAGCCAGTCATCTCAGTCGACCCGTGGCACCTGGGTCTGCCCCGTGACCTCCTGCCAGCGGGCGTTCGACACTTCACGTGGCCTCAGGGTGCACATAGCCTG